AAATTTGACCCCTGTGGTCCACATGAAGAAGGACAGAAGATACTTCCAAGTTGTTCTCTGACCCCCACACGCACACATCAAACAGGCTGGTAAAGTCATTTTACATTTTCTACACTGAGAACTCGGTGCAAGTTTTACCTTGCTCACTTTAGAATTTGTATCCTTCTCTGTTTTTTTCAAGTGTTCCTTCTTGTCTGTTCTCTGCAAAGCTGCTGGTTCTTCCTCCACTCCATCTTCTCCTTCCCCTCTTTTTTTCTCAGCTTTCTGGTCTCTGATCTCAGCTACTTTCGCTGTGGGTCTGGATATTCTCGGAGACCTTCTTAAAGTCCGGCCCACACTGGTTTTCTCCTCTTCCTTCCCCACCTTCTCTTCCTTGCTCTCCGAGTCTACAATTTGTGGGGGACAATCCGGCTTCTTCTTCCGACTAGATATCCGGATTGTCAACTTGATGCCTTCCTTCTGCCTTTCGGAGGTGATCTCTGTGTTTTCTGAAGCCGTGCTGTCTCCTTCAGGAACTAACTTATATTTGAATTTGCTCTTCGGCATGGAGCTCTTCGTCTCAGAAGTGTCCTCCATGCCAGAGGCCTGGACCTTGTCCGCACTGGCCATTTCTACCTTCATGGACTCAGAATCCTTTTCTAGAGTTCCTGGGCTTGCATTTTCAAGGGACTGGCCTTCACTTGAACCTCTACTTAGACATTCTACACCTTTTTTTTCTGAGGCCAGTTTCTCCTTGGGGCCAGTCATCTCGGGTAGGAGGGAAGCTTCAGCCACTTCACAAGGATCTGGCTTTTCTGATTCTACAGGACTCCTTACAACTTCCTCGGGTATTGGACTCAATCTTTCCTTCTCACCAACAGTCTTTTTGGCCTTTTCCACCTTTTCCAGGCATTCTATGCCTGGTGGGTGGTTCTCACTCTTACTTTTGGGGGCCTTCTCTTCAGCTTTCCCAGTGCAGGATTCCATGACAGACAAAGCAGATTTTAAAGAGAGATCTGTTGCTGTCTCCAAAGGCTCAAGAGGCATTTCCGTGTTTGGAGGCCCAGAGTCCTCTCCTCTTCCTTTCTGACTGTGCCTCTCTGAGGCAGATAAAGAGCTATCTAGAGCCTTTCCCAGGGGGGCTTCTTTCTCAAGGTCACTTATCATCTTTGTGCTTGCTATGACAGAACTGAAAGCCTCGGCCCCATCCCCCTCCGTGAGAGTATTCCCATCCTTAGAGGGGATGGCAGAGCTGTCTTCCTTTGTATCACAAAGCTGGGTTTCCATCTGTTCTGTCTTACAATTTGGCGTGACCTTGTCATCGCTAACTTCTCCATTCACTAGTTGCTTCCCTTCGTGACTCAAAGCACTGATGGTGGAGACGCGTTTACAAGTCTCTTCCTCTTGTTTTATTTCATCTTTCAAAAACTCTTTTGTTGGAGTAGTTGACTTGCACAAAGGTCTGTCAAAATCATCACTCAACTTAATTTCACGTTTTTTTAGTGGTATCTTGGCTTGCTGGTCATTTTTAAGCTTCTCAGTTTCCTCAGAAGATTTCTCTGTGATGTCTTGAGAAGATCTGATGTTGCCACCGAATTCCACTCGCTCGGGGTCCTGTGCACCCAGTCTCTCGGAGCTACCTTTGAGATCTTTGGAGTCCACTCTGCATTCTTTTGTTTCTACTTTAATGGGTTTGACATTTTCCTTGAAGGAATCACTTTCCTCTCTGATAATCTTTTTTTCCTCAGTTTCTGGCAAAGGTTTTTCTAGCTTTACAATGACAGGCAGTTTCTTAAGCTCCTTTTCATCTTCTTTTTCAGTTTTCACAGCTGTCTCTTCTAGAACATTGGCCACAGAACGCTTTATGGGATCCACTGGCCGCTCATCACCTTTTGTCCTTCCATTTTCCTTCGAGTGCTCTAAAACCAGAAAAGAAGTTTAGATGAACAGAAGATTTTAGGTTTAAAAAAAAAAACAAAACTTAGAAATACAGTATTTATTTCAATTTCAATCTGAAGTTTTTTTATAACTGGATATTTTGATTAAAAAAACTGACAATAAAGAAAACAAAAAAATTGTGAGTCCCAATTTCTAGATATTAAAATGTTGACTCAGGCTTCAGCTTTCCCAATTGAACATCAGTGTTCGTGATGGAATGCAAATATTTATACAGTTCACGGTATTTATTCCAACTCAAGGGCTGTCTCAAAAATATGAAATAGAAACGCTTCATAAAACAGTCCCAAAGGTCAAATTTTTTTAATAAAGTGAGAAATGTTCTTGTATACGAATCACTGAGTATTTCAGGTCACCAAGGTAACATGAGCACAGGAGCGGGAAAATGAAAAGCAACAAAGAAAAATACCCAGAAGCCTAATAGCCACAGGCAATCACTGCTAATGGTTTCAGGACAGAGGAGCCATCTGTCAGTCAGTCTGTCTGTCTGTCTATCTATCTCTAATTGTGCATATTTTCTACAAGGTGGAGCCATGTGGTCTGGATTTTTTTCACTGAAACACTAGCACTTTGCTGCTGACGGTCTGTCTGCTGGGGACAGAACTCAGGGCATTGGGCAAGTCAGGCCAGTAGCCTACTGCTGTCTATCTCTAATTGTAAAACGTCTGAATATCTGCAACTATCAGCCAGCATTACGTGTATATATCATGTATATATATACACTATACAAGTACAGTAGTGTACAGGAGGTCTACAGGAGTGGCAGAGGCAAGCTTCCAATGTTGGCTAATATAATTACCAGAGTATTGGCAAAATTTTAAATCTTTCCAGCCCAATTACAATCCATTCTACTTTTTAACTCTGTATTTCTCTATAAAAAATGATTTCTTCTGTTTATTACATATTGCTATATATTTTGTTTTTTGGTTTTTTGGGACAGGGTTTCTCTGTGTAGTTTTGGTGCCTGTCCTGGATCTTGCTCTGTAGACGAGGCTGGCCTCGAACTCACAGAGATCCGCCTGCCTCTGCCTCCCGAGTGCTGGGATTAAAGGCGTGCGCCACCACCGCCCAGCTTGCTATATGTATGTTTTTAACAGCACTTACTACTCAGAATCCTAATTATTTATTCACATATTTATTTGTTCAAATAGTCTAAGAATTATTGTTCTGAGGAAGAATCAGATTATTTACCTATAGTACACTCAAAACACCTGCTGATCTAATTGAATAAACTGTAATGGCAATAAATTGTAGCCTAAATGTAAAACAAACAAACAAAAATTAACAACTTAAAAAATACTTATTTCTTCTTCTTTTTAATCATGTTTATGTGTGTGCACCATTCACACGGAGGACGAAAGGCACCAAACTCCTTACAGCCATAGTTAGGAGCTGCCCGACCTAGATGCTGGGAATGAAATTCAGGTCTGCTGCAAAAGCAGCGCCTGCTCTTAATCCCGAGGCTCCTCTTGTGCCCCCATCAATGCCTTCTTAAAAGTCTCTGCGCACAAGTAAGAAAGTGAGTCACGTAAGGTTTGACAGATTTAACAGAGGCTATGCTACAGTGTGCCAAAGAGCTACTCAGTATACTTAAGAGAACATTTAAAATATCAGATAAAACTAAAGCTATTAAAACATATGGGACTATAGCTATACACCAACAATTCAGAGTGGTTCAAATGTTCACAATGCTGGGATAGCTCAGTTGGCAGCATGCACAGAGCCGTGGGTTCGAGCGCCAGCACCACATACATCAGGGAGTGGTGGCCCATGACTGTAATCCAAGCACAGGATCACAAGTACAAGATTATCCTCAAGTATATAGTGAAGTCAAGGTCAGTATGGGCTACAAGAGACTGTCTCAAAGGAAAAACGAACTATCCAATTTATCACACAAAGTGAAATTCAGTAATAGCTTCCTTCGCTCTCTGTAGTGAAAGGCACATACATGTACATGAAGCTGTACTGACAGTATACACCAGTCCAACTACTCAGTATCAAACACTTCTGTTCTACACCTAGAACTACCTTCTTGAATGAAGAAACAAATTGGAAAATGGTTAGCATAGAAGTACAAAAATAAGACATAAAACTCTTTACCACATAATTCCAATAAATAAAAGCAACAGTAACCATGCCCAAAATAAAGATCAGAAAGAACTAGATCATAATAGGAGCAGTGATTTTTATTTTATTTTATTTTATTTTTTGGTCATGGGGTAATTACTGATACTTAATTCACTTCGTTATTATTATTAATTATTACTATCTTGCTTTATTGTTAATATTTTGCTTTATCCTCAGGTTTTCTTTTATTTTTTCTAAAGATTTATTTATTTATTATGTACACAGAAGAGGGCACCAGATCTCATTACAGATGTTGTGAGCCACCATGTGGGTGCTGGGAATTGAACTCAGGACCTCTGGAAGAGCAGTCAGTGCTCTTAACCTCTGAGCCATCTCTCCAGCCCCTCAGGTTTTCTATAGTAAATGTATAATATCCTTTGCAATCAAGTACGTTAGAAGGAATTTAATTTAAGATGACCAACTGGTTTGTTCAGGACCAAGGGGTTTCCTTTGATATAATGTTATCAGCACTAAACCCAGACAACCCCCTTTACACAAACCAAGACACCATCCCCATTAATACTGTAATTAAACTATAACAATTAGCCCCACACTGCTACTACATTAACTTGGAAGTCTCTCATTTTATATATCAACTGAAGAAAGTATATTGAACATTTTTCAAGATGGACAATTGGGGCTTAAAAATCAAATTCCAAGAGAGCAATACAAATTGGATCTGTTCAAAAGCATCCCTCCAGATCTAGTTAGTATTCATGTATTTAGTTAAGTTTGCATTCTAGTCAACATATACTCAGAATTAATAGCAAACAGGTACATTGCATCTGCTATGAGAAGATTTCTGTACTGGAGACTACTGGGAAGGTGCGATACTCAGCAGGTAAAAGCACTTAATGTAAGTCTTATGACCTTGTTCAAACCCCAAAATCCAACCCAAGTTGCCCTCTGACCTCCACACCTGCACAGTGGCACATGCACAAATACTAGGTAAATGTAACCACAAAATGTACAAACAAAGAGGGGGCGGGGCGGTGGCGCACGCCTTTAATCCCAGTACTCGGGAGGCAGAGGCAGGTGGATCTCTGTGAGTTCAAGGCCAGCCTGGTCTACAGAGCTAGAGTTGCAGGCCAGCCAGAGCTACACAGAGAAACCCTGTCTCAAAGAACCAAAAACAAAAACAAAGAAGGAGTAGTGAACACTGGAGCGATGGTTCATAGTTAGGAGAATCGGCTGCTCTTCCAGAAAAGCAGCGTTCGACTTCCAACATCCACACAGCAGACTACAACAAGCATCTATAATTCCAGTTTCAGGAGATCCAAAGCCCTCTTCAGCCTCTTCAGGTACCAAGCATGCAGGCAGTACACAGAGAGACATACATGTAAAGCATGAACACACACAAAATTAAAATTTTCTAAATTAAAAATAAAAACTGGGGCCAGTAGTAGGAAATGGAGGCATAAAAAAATGTAAAAGGAGGTCTCACCAAGATGGCTCAGTAGTAGAGGTGCTTATCACTACACTTGACGACCTAAGCTTGATCCTTGGAACCCACACAAAGGCTGAAGGATGAAACTGACTCCTACACACACACACACACACACACACACACACACACACACACACACACACACACACACACACACACACCCCGAATGTTGAAAACCAATTTTAAGGAACAAACTGCTATTATCTTACATATGGTCACCAGCTCTCCCTGAGGCTCTGAAACTGCCTCGTAACTTTACTATTTTCTCTGGCAAAGCTTCAATCTTCTTCCCCACGCTTACGTCTACAGTCTCTGTCGTGCCCACATTTCAGATGATTCCACCTTCAATCTCACAAGAACAGAAGCCAGGAGGCAGTAGTGCTCCCTCTCCTCACCAGACATAAACCTGCTGCCTCTTCCCAAACACAGATGCCCGTTTCTAGCCAGATTCTACCGCCCCGCGTCAGACCTCAGCTCCCGCAGTTTACTCAGTTTTAAACAGTGTCTCCAGCTCACTTGTGTTAATGAGATCTCACTGGTGCGGTTCTAGGATAAAGAGATGAAGAAGAGAAATGAGAACTGTTGGCAGACCCTCTGGGGAGAATTAACAATAACGCTCATCAAGGCCATCTCATCTTATTCAGAGTCTTAATAAGCTTACAGTAAACACTGCCTAGACTGCATTTCTCCCCAACCCCAATCTTCCTGTGTCTAAGCCTTCAAGCCACACTGTCATAAACTAAACTCGACTAAACTCTTGGTGTGTAAAAGCTCCTGAAAAATGCTACTTAGTAAAATTTACCACAGGTGGTGGTGGCGGCAGCTGCTACACACACCTTTAATCACAGCAGTCCCAGTACTTGGGAGGCAGAGGCAGGTGGATTTCTCTGCGTTTGAAGCCTGCCTGGTGTACAAACCGAGTTCCAGGATAGCCAGGACAGATACACAGAGAAACCCTGTCTCGAAAAACAAAACAAAACAAGTAAAAATGAACTAACAGCTGGGTGTAGTGGTCCACATCTATGGTCACTGCTACTTGAGATGCTGAGCAAAGGACCACTTGAGCCCAGGAGTTCAGAACCAGCCTGGGAAGTGTTCTGAGACCCAGGCTCAAACAACAACAAACAAACACATTGTTTGTTGTTTTGAGATAGTTTCACTATGTAGTCTAGGATGGCCTAGAACTCACTATATAGAACAGGCTACTGTAAAACTCACAATGAACCCACTTCAGCTTTCTAAGTGCTGGGATTATCAATGCATACCACTCTGCCTAGGTTCAAACATTTACAGATTTATAAACTAATCATAACAGGTGGCAGTCCAGACTGGTTTGTCTGCCTAGTCTGCTATGAGTCCCCTCATGTATGATGTGGACTTACTCCTATGTTAAGGTCTTGCAATCCAAGCATTACTTGGTTATCTCATTCCTACTGTAAAAATGATGATCTAAAGTCAGGCATAGTGGTGCAGGCCTAAAAAATACCAGCTATTTGAGAGGATGAGGCAGGAGGATTGCAAGCTTAAGGCTAGCCTGGACAAGTCAGCAACTTCTATTAAAAAAAAAAAAGTAAAAATAAGGGCTGAAGGTGTAGTTTGGTAGCACAGTGATAGCTCAACGCACGTGAGTCTTTAGGTTCAGTTTCCAATAATATACACACACAGAGCTGGGGCAGACTTGTAAACACTACTTGGGAAACTGAAGCAGAATGATAGTAAGTTCAAGGTCAATTTAGTGGTGGAATGCTCAATCAGCATGAAAGAGGCCATGTCTTCTATTCCCAGTACCAAAAAAGAAAAAAAAAGAAAAAGAAAAAGAACCATCTAAAGCTGGGATGTAACAGGGGTATAGTGTATACCTAGAATGTGTTCCTGAAGCCCTTGCTTTGGTCCTTAGCACCAGCCAACACCCACAAATCACATATTCCCACAAAAAACTATACATGAATGTTTACAGCTGCATTATTCATAGAACTATAAAATACAACTCATATATCCAGGTGATTAATGGACAAACAAAATGTACTACATATATAAGGGACAGTATTCCTCCTTCAAAAGGACATATTGATCAAGCACACATGGGTGAAATGTGAAAACATATTAAGTGAAAGAACTCAAACAAAGAGATAACATAATACTTATTTATAGGAAATGTCCTAAAGAGACAAATCCATACAGAGAAACTACATAACTAGTTCCAGAGGCTAAGAGGAGAGATAGTGAACAGCCACTAAATGATTACAGTTTCTTTCTTTCTTTCTTTTTTTTTTTCTCCATGAAACAAGAGTTTTCCTGGCTGTCCTGGAACTCCCTCTGTAGATCAGGCTGGCCTGGAACTCACAGAGATCGGCTTGCCTCTGCCTCCGGAGTACTGGTATTAAAGGTGTGAGCCACCACTGCCCTGCCTTTTTTTTTCCAATTACACTTTCTTTGAAGGTTGAGGGAAATGTTCTAGATTTAGATCATGGTTATGGTTTCCTATATCTGAATATACAAAAAAACAAAAAACAAAAAACTAGTAACTGTAAACCTTTAAAAGGTAAGTTTACTTTAGCCTTTTAAAACCAAACACTGTACAGATTAAAGATATTTATAGACTAAATCAGATCTGAAAACTGCCAGTCTACAGGTTCATTTTGTACTACAGACCCTCAAATAACATTTCCTTATCAGCTTACATGTGGGCAGAAGTATATGACATAAAAATGAAGAAAAGTCCTTTCCAATTAGTAAGAGTAAAGCTATACTAAAGGCTAGTTAAGTTCACCTCAACTTCCTCTTTTTCAGGAGTTTCTTTTTCATTTTTTGTGCCTTCCAAATTAGAACACAGTATATAACGGGAGTAAAATGGGCATTAACTGTTACTGTGTTCTTTATAAACACACACCCTCCGGGTAGTATACCTCCGAAAAACATAGAGTGAACTCTCAACAACCTTAACAGGACCAGAACACTCAGTTGCATGTCAACCACTGTTTGGATTTAAAATCCAACCATTGGCAGCTCTAAGCATGTGCTGTGAATGACTCGAATACATGGGGCATAAAATACCAAGTAGTCTAGACAACGGAGGAAGGAGTCACAAAGGTTTCCTGCAGAGTATAAGCAAGCCTTTCACAGCAGTTGGAGGGGACAGCACCTGAGGGCGGGACCTGCACAATGAAGCCAAGGACAGGAAAAGGCATGGGGAAAGTCAAGACCCGAGGGATCGGAACACGTGAGGCAACAGTGGGAGACAACTGGAGAGGTAGGGTGGGCTGGCTGGGAGCTTATGGGTAGCATCTGTGAAATGCAACTCTAATTGACCTAAGTATTCATTTGCTGGTGAATTGTCAAGGCTGTTTTCTGTCACTTTCAGATTTGTGTACAAGTTTATAGCAACGTGCTTCTCCTCAGCACCCACTACACAGGAATGGTGGAATCATCTTGCCGAGGTTAAGTCTAAAGGATGGCCATTCGATCAAAGATCTACTTGGGACAAGAATGGCTTCACAATTCCCTCCAGTGCTGACCGGCCACCTCTTCCTTTTTGCCTCATTTCTAAACTGCAACTACACTTTGAAAATTTGGTCACGTTCTCCTAGGACTGCACTGCATCACACTGCTGAAGGCTGTTCACATTTTCTACCAAGTCCACCAGCAACCTCTGCTGACAACCAAGAGGGATAAAGTGAGCAAGAAGTACATTTCTTTAATCTCACCCTGGGACAGAGCATGGTCACCACATCTGAGAGGAGGAGAGCGTAAGAGGGAAGGTTCCGAAGGAAGGATGCGCTACCTCGTAAGGTACACAAAAGCGCAGCAGCATTGGCAGGCATGCAAGGGCTGGGAGAGATGGCTCAGTCGGCAAAGTCCTCAAGCATGAGGTCTTGAGTTCCATCTCCAGCAGCCGTGGGGAACCTGTCACATCTGCCGTTAGCCCAGAGCTGGAGAGCCAGACACGAGAGAGTCACTGGTGCCTGCTGGTCAGCCATTCCAGCTGAATCGGAGGGCTCCGGGTTCAATGAAAAAATTAAGTTTAAAAATTAAGTGGAGAAACAACGCTGACCTCTGGACAGATGGACGGACACACACACACACACACACACACACACACACACACACACACGCACACGCACACGCACACGCACACGCACGCACAGTCTCAGCTAGAATACTGAGTTAGCCAATAACAGACTATGTAACCTAAGGAAAGCTACTTACAACAGTCTTTGTCTTATTTCTCTGATCTAGAAAAATGAAGTAATTATACCTAGTAGGCCCCCCTTATCTATGGTTTTACTTTCTATGGCTTCAGTTACCCATTCAAGTACAATCCTAAAGGAGAAAAGGAGGTACAGAGGAGTGGGGTGAGCAAGTGACGGACTATATTCATATAACTTACTACAGCATACTGGCCAAGGGCTCTATCTTATTGTTTCTTATCTCTTTACTGTACATAACTTATAAATTAAAATTGACCTGGATGGTAAAACTGAAATATATGTAAGTTGCATCATTATCTAGTTTCTGATATCCACTTGGGTTCCTGAAAACTTACAGCAATGTTTATCTAATAAAGTTTATGCTTCAAACTATGCAATTTAGTATTATACAAATCATTTTAGAACATAAAAGGCTCAAGAAAATGGCACACAAGTTAGTTATTTTATCCACTATAGTGTAAGTTTCATAAAAACAACTATATATCAGTGTGCTTTGTTTACTGAACCTCCTTGCAAGAAATTATGATTCATACATAGAAGATGCCTAATATTTATAAAATGAGCAAATAAGAAACATTTTCTTGGGGGTACCCCTGAGTCCAAGAGTTAAGAGTAGGTTGGATAATACAGTGAGAGACCTCATTTCAGAAGAGGAAAAAAAAAACTTAAACATTGTGATGTTCGTTTTTTTGCAGTGTGTGAGGCTGAATCTAGAGCCACTTGTGAGCTCGGCAGGCACTCTCCACTGAGCTCCACTCAGGGTGCCATGAAAGAGGAGAGAATAGTACCCCCAATATCCTGCTCCTCCTCTGTTCCCTCCACAGAAGTCCTCTATCACAAACCATTTCCTCTTTACCAGGAAGCACACCACCAGCATTTGCTCAGAGGTGTTTATGGAACAGCAATATGAAAAAGCCTTGGCACACCTGTTTTGAAGTAAGGAGAAAACCCCTCTGCAAGCCTTG